AATATCAAAATGAGCCGTACAAAAAGATATTGTTTGAGGAAAAAATAGTGATGCTTGCAGGACTCGAACCATCGAAGACGGGGTTAACACGAGAGATAACACTGCCAGTCTGGGGTCAAAACGAAAGATAATACTGACAGTCTGGGGTCAAAACGAGAGATAACACTGCCAGTCTGGGGTCAAAACGAGAGATAATACTGCCGATCTGGGGTCAAAACGAGAGATAATACTGCCAGTCTGGGGTCAAAACGAGAGATAATACTGCCAGTCTGGGGTCAACACGAGAGATAACACCGCCAGTCTGGGGCCAAAACGAGAGATAATACTGCCAGTCCGGGGTCAAAAACGAGAAATAATATCGCCAGTCTGGGGTCAAAACGAGAGATAATACTGCCAGTCTGGGGTCAACACGAGAGATAACACTGCCAGTCTGGGGCCCGAACACGAGAGATAATACTGCCAGTCTGGGGTCAACACGAGAGATAATACTGCCAGTGTGGGGTCAGCACGAGATAATATTTACATTAGCTCCCATTGAAGCTGTGTAAACCGTGACTGCGTATACATTAACGTATACGCAGTGAGATTCCTCGGAGACCAATGTTTCCTATTGATGACGTAATTTACATTGTGACGTCATAATGGTAACGTTGGAGATCCATCACTGCTCGCAGGCTGTAGGCTGTTCATTTGTTTGGATTTACGCACTTTACGGAGGCTTTGTACCAATATGAAAGCAAATGCATTGGAGTTAGCTTTATTCTGAGTGTACCATCATAGTACGAAAATATGTAAATATAAGAATTGATCTTCAGTTTGACTGCGTATACGGTAGTATGAACGCAGTTGGCAACGAACATATTATTTATGGAGCGCTTACGCGCTCCATAGAATATGTTCGAGAGATAATACTATTATCAAGAGATAATACTGCCAGTCTGTGGTCAACACGAGAGATAACACTGCCAGTCTGGGATCAACACGAGAGATAACACTGCCAGTCTGTGGTCAACACGAGAGATAATACTGCCAGTCTGGGGTCAACACGAGAGATAATGCCAGTCTGACACTCTTCGTTATTGACTTCACAGCAGTGTAAGAACTTTTCACCTCCTTTACTCATTGAAAGGTGTTATCTTCTATGTACTAGGACCGACAAATATATTTCAATGTGATAAAGAATAATTTGGAATAAAACACAATATTTGATACTTAAAATCATTAATGGTTTGCTATGATTCCTATATAATAATTGATAGTATGTTTGGTCAATTCCTCGGAATTACTGGTGGGTTCACTTAAAACGGAATGTGGACATTAATCATGCGTGATTTTTCCTTATTAATGCTATAATGCAGGTCAGCTCTACATCTGAACTAAACAAACCAACCCGTTATGTGGGACTAGGTTGGCCGTTTTACCGCTGTCAGTTTACTGGCATGAAATCCTTCATAACGTTTGCTCATGCCATAAAACAACCAATATTGCATCAGCAAGTCAATATATTCATACTTATTTCCTGATGTGACGTTTATTTAAACTGTAGCATAGTTAATGATTCAATATTTCATTTCTCCTATAATTGGTCTTAAAGGTTTAGACTACAGAATGCTGTTGCGACTTACAGCAGTGAGTGATTAAGGGGAGATAATCCCTGCTATCTAAAGTACTGATATAGATGTACATGTATTTTGACGATAACAATAGCATGGGACAATACAGAGGACATTAGACAGGCCTGTTTCAGGTTATTGTTTTTTGAAAGGACTTGGATCGTTATTGTTTACGTTAATCATTACTATAACACTGAACCCCCGATGACAATACGATTAATGTCACTGTAATGGTTTCCGTCTGTCTAGTCAGGCATTATAACCAAACTGTAGACAATTGAGGATTCACTATCAATAATTGCATTCTAACTAGACGAATGCATCGTACAGAATAAGATTTTAAAAATATAGAAATGATAATAGAAATAAAATAACCAGCTTGATTGGAATTTAAGCTGACACTGCTTAATAAAATAAAAATAATTAGTTCTTACACTGAGAGATGTATAGCTTCATCAATAACTTCAACATAAATCCCCAACCTGTCAATGTTTTCATAACTTCACCAATCCATGGCTAGACGATCATTGTCACGGAGTATGTTTCTGTCGTTTTGGGATTTACTCGGCGTTGCATGGATCCCTTTTGCCTCGTTTGACTCGTACAGTGTAAATAGAATGCCGAGTTGTTTATCGGTTTTAAATAGAGCGTTTTCCATCAAGTTTGGATTTGAGATAAAAAAAAAAGTACAGTTGTCAGTTTAAATAATTTCGGAGATGCGGAACAGAATAAACAAAAAACTTGTAGCACGTTTTCAACTTTTCATTGGAATTCAATCCGATTACAAATGGAATAGGATTTTTTTTTAATTTACAGCTACTGTCACTATCCTGAGCTGTTGAAACCGTTACATTATCTCATAAAATACAAGAGTTACATCCCGTTGAACAGGCCCCACCGGCTTCAATTCGCCATGGTTCGATGATTTCTTCAGGAGTTTAACATAAATATTATTTCTTAACAACTTATATTAATCACACTTGTTGGCCCGGATGTAAGCGCGGTCTTAATGAAGGAGAACACCGGAGTATTCGAAAACAATCTTCAACACTCTTCAGGAGTTAAAAGTGTAATACGGTTGAAATATTTTCGTGGAAGTGAACATATTTAATACACTATTAGACGTTGGTAAATGCTTGTTTGCCGATGTATAGACAAGTACAATCCTATGCCGGATGTGTTTCCCCTAACATATGATCCAAACGGTTTATCTTTTGATTATTTTCCCTGCTTATAAAAGCGTAACGTAAGAACACTCCACTGTGTCAATAACATTCTGTATATTTCGACTTTCTCCGTTAGTCGGTTATAATATACTCTAACCCAGATACATTTGTAAGTCAAAATTGTTTTTGTTTACTGTGATAACGATGTGATAAATATCGGACATATTTTACTTGAGTATCGTTACATGTTTTCCTTATGCATTTATGTAATTAATTTATTGGCAAAACACTTAGGTCACCTCTTGTTTAATACTTGTTCATAGATGTGGGCCAGTTCTAAATCGAGATGAGGGGGCTCAAAGACTCTAGCACATCTATGACGAAGTTTTAAACAAATCGTAGCTGAATCGAGTCATTTCGGTACATAAATAACAACTATTGTACATAAACTTACAGCGTAGCCGAATCGACATTGATTTTGTGGACAACTCGTAGAAATTTTACACCTTTGTGTGAATACGCTTCACTGGTCATTTGTCTGATGAAGGGTGACAGTGGGACATACCGTACTAGTCATCGAAACGTCACATAGACAATCGTATTGGTTGTGTTAAAAGAACTTTTCTAAATCCATACTTACCAACCTGAAGAATATGTTTAGCAATATGACATTTATTAAATGATTTTGTTAAAGTGTCCTGTTATTATGAGTTTGAATATTGAAAAACCATAGTGGAAAACAAATCTCGTATTTTAAGAAAAGTATTTACCGTATGGCGTCATCTGTTAAATACATATCTGTCTGTCTGGCTGTCTGTCTGTCTGTCTGTCTGGCTGTCTGTCTGTCTGTCTGTCTGTCTGGATACATGGCTAAGTGTGAACAATGCATGTCAGGAACTTTACCTAATGACATTTTACTTAAGGTAGGTGAATGGATTATTGGTTTTCGTAACATTGGAATCTGTTGACTAATTAAAAATATAAGATTTAAACTTTGTTTATTTTACAACAATTTTGAAACCAGTTTTTACAACTTTTATTTATCACTCTTGTTGGCCCGGATGTTAGCGCGTGGGGGTCTTATTGTGGGAGGAAACAGGAGTACCAGGACTTAAACCCATGTGGTCGTGCAGGTGACCACATACCTTTTAACATCCGCTCTGGAAATCGAACCCTGGCCGCCTTAGTGAAATGCAAGTGCGCTATCTACTGCGCCAACCGACCACCCCGTCCACTGAATAAGTTCCAGCATAAAAGCATTCCAGTGACCTAACAAAACATCCGTGTTGATTTTCGAGACGTTAAAAGGTTATGTTATAATACCTTACATTAAAGGAGCATCTTCTATCATAAAAGGCTGACAGTAATTTCCGACAAAAATAAAATTCACTGATGGAACAAAAATTGTATTTCCTTTAATCAGATAAATATAGCGTTTATAAAACAAATAAAAAAAAGAAAAAATATAGGAAACGTAGCATCAATCAGGTTACTTTTATTTCTCTTGTCTGTATCACACAGGAGTGAAAATAAATATCAGGGAGGCAGGTATACGTCATACAGGCGTGACGTCATTACACAGTAGAAAATAACAATAAGGTCACGGAAAAAATATAATGTGACGTAACAATAAGGTTTAACAGGAGGAAACACGTCTAATTCAGTAAAATTACATATGATGAGTGCTGAGAAACATACTACTTTCCTAGTCTACGTTGACGCTATTCCAGAGAAATTTCTACCTTCCCGATAAGATTCTTGAATGTCGAACCTGCGACTTGAGGTAAATAACGGGTTAGACAATCAAGAATATCTCCTTTCGCGTTTAAATGTCTTTATCATATCCTCAATATAGGCGAGTAGCCTTCTTTTCCTCTTGTAACTGATATACACTTGTAAACTATGGAAGAAAGCCTCGCAGGTTATTGAACGGCGTGTAAGTGGTGTCCAAGGGTCATGCTCACATTCACTCTCTGCACCCCTGGAATATGTCATAGCAAAATTGAAGGCACGAATATAGCTGTTTGATTGGTCTCAGGTAAACAAACTGACCAATCGCTATGCTGATACTTGTCCTTTTAAGATTATAAAGGAGAGACGCCAGACTTCAAAGCCAGTCAATTTTTACCGTTACGTGACCACGAGATTCTTTTGATGTACATTAAAGGATCAAACTAGTCTTCTTGTCTCACCAACAAGGTGGCGCACACCGATCCTTTAATTTTGCTATGACATATTCTAAGGGTGTAGAGAGCGAAAGAGAGCGTAACCCCTGGATATCGAGGATGTGCATATGTAAGCATGCGTGTAAAGCGGTGTGAATTGTTGTTAATTGGTAACTAATGACGTAGTACACACGACGTAACTGTATTAGGGTCTGACGTAGTGGATTTGGTTACTCATCCTGTGTTGATTTTATTGGCGTGACTTTTGTCGGTTCCCGTGTGTGCTTTACAGCTGTTAAAACAATCAGAATAACTGAAAATAGCGCCGCGGCAAGGTAGGTGGCTCCACTGACGAACGCCTGGGTATACCCTTCGTGAGTGAACGTCTGGAGTAACGTGGTAGATGATACAGCACTAATGGCAAATCCAAGGACTGGTCTGCTCCCTTTAAAGTTCATTGTCGTTTTTACCACTAATCCTCCTGTAAGACAAAGGAAACAGTCATACTTATATCTGGAGTAAACTATTCTACAGCAATTTTAGAAAGTAATCATGTTCTTCTCACAAAGTTATACTCAAGTTGTTTCCATCTTGTCACATCTACCCGAAAACGCAGCAACAGCAATAGGTAGGGTACTCACTAGAAATACAGATACGGTGGATGCAGAGAGCCAAACAATGTCAACATTGCCAATGCTCTTTATGTCCATTTCATCAGTTGTACTCAGGTTCAAAGGACTTAAAATATATATCTAATGTGTTCCGATACATCAGTTGTACAACGAACCAAAGGACCTAAAATATATATATAATGTGTTCCGATACATCAGTTGTACAACGGATCAAAGGACTTGAAATGTATATCTAATGTGTTCCGATACATCAGTTGTACAAATGATCAAAGGACTTAAAATATATATATAATGTGTTCCAATACATCAGTTGTTCTAATGATCAAAGGACTTAAAATGTATATATAATGTGTTCCGGTACATCAGTTGTACTAAGTATCAAAGACCTTAATATATATATATATAATGTGTTTCGATACATCAGTTGTACAACGGATCAAAGGACTTAAAATATGTATATAATGTGTTTCGATACATCAGTTGTACAAATGATCAAAGGACTTAAAATATATATATAATGTGTTCCAATACATCAGTTGTTCTAATGATCAAAGGACTTCAAATGTATATATAATGTGTTCCGGTACATCAGTTGTACTAAGGATCAAAGGACTTAAAAAATATATCTAATGTGTTCCGATACATCATTTGTACTACGAATCAAAGGACTTAAAATATATATATATAATGTGGTTCGATACATCAGTTGTACAACGGATCAAAGGACTTAAAAAATATATATAATGTTTTTCGATACATCAGTTGTACAACGGATCAAATGACTTAAAATGTATATCTAATGTGTTCCGATACATCAGTTGTTCTAATGATCAAAGAACCTAAACTATATATATAATGTGTTCCGATACATCAGTTGTACTGAGGATCAAAGGACCTAAAATATATATATAATGTGTTCCGATACATCAGTTGTTCTAATGATCAAAGGACCTAAAATATATATCTAATGTGTTCCGATACATCAGTTGTACAACGAACCAAAGGACCTAAAATATATATATAATGTGTTCCGATAAAACAGTTGTTCTAATGATCAAACGACCTAAAATGTATATCTAATGTGTTCCGATACATCAGTTGTACTACAGATCAAAGGACTTAAAATATATATACATAATGTGTTCCGATACAACAGTTGTTCTAATGATCAAAGGACTTAAAATATATATATATAATGTGTTCCGATACATCAGTTGTACTAAGTATCAAAGAACTTAAAATATATATCTAATGTGTTCCGATACATCAGTTGTACTAATGATCAAAGGACTTAAAATATATATACAATGTGTTCCGATACATCAGTTGTACAACGGATCAAAGGACTTAAAATATATATCTAATGTGTTCCGATACATCAGTTGTACTAAGGATCAAAGGACTTAAAATATATATACAATGTGTTCCGATACAACAGTTGTACTAATGATCAAAGGACTTAAAATATATATATAATGTGTTGTAAAATTGAAGATGTTTAAATAATTAGCTTCAAAATAACCAGTTTTCAATGAAAGATCTCAACAGACGTTGTCCACGCATTTTTCTAAGAAAATTACGCACGGTTCATATTTGTGTACTTCATTTATTCCACATTGCGTACCTAACAACTTATCTAAATCCCTGATGAGGCCAGAAATGACCATTAACGCCCCTAGTCGTTTGTAAACCATCAGTTTCCTAATCCTGTTCTATCACTTTAGGGATCCAAGTACCACTGCCAAAACCCGTTACTATGTATTGAAACTGTTTTATCGTTACTGCAAAGAAAACCATAAAATTGTAGTAAAAAATAAAGCAAGGTATGATAATAGTATATTAATATTAATATGAACAAATACATAATGTAGCTGACTGACTGAGCTACCTAGTCAACGGGAGTATCCTGACCAAATTGTGGTACATATGTATCCTTAATGGAGTTAGGGGAAGGTAACTGTTCGAAAAACAACCATTGCGATAGGACAGTCATCCTTAAACGTGGATGTGATATACAAAAAATACAATAAATGCCCCTTTACATAAATACACACCACATCCACCGGAGAGCAGTATAACAGCAATAAGTAGAGCGATCTTCACGGCCTTGTGGGGATGGACGAAGGTCAAGGCCACCAGAATGACCTGAATCAGGGTTCCAGCTATGCCAAGAGCTAAGGCGATGCATTGGAACTTTATTATCGGCTTCTTCCAGTCCTGCCAGTCTGAAAAGTATAAACGATAATAACAATGAGTAATGACACATATTCATCTATGTTAAAAAAGTCGCAATTGTCAAAAATGTGTGCTACGAAACCTTGACGCATCCTATTGAAACTTTACATTAGCGTTTTCGCCTGACGGTGCCACATTCAAAATTATTAAAGCGAGGATAATCCGCTTGCTCGTTACAACTTTTATGAAACATACCACGGGGTTTGGGCAGACCCATCTTATTCCTTTGGAAGAAGTGAACAGATCGACGCCTTTTCTAGGGTTATTTTCCAAATGTTTTAGGCAAGCGTAATGTCGCAGATGTTTGCAGCTGAGAGGTGTTTCACAGTTGCCATCAATATGCAAAAACAGGCCCAATGTACAATGTACTGTCAAAGGATACTTAAGTGTGCACGCCGTTATCATTGTCACACAAAAACAAACAACTTGAGATTGCGTTCCGTCTGTTAAGCACTTGGGTATCTATTGCGCCCCGTTTGTTTAGCACTTGGATATATATTGCGTTCCGTTTGTTAAGCACTTGGGTATCTTTTGCGTTCCGTTTGTTAAGCACTTGGGTAACGATTGCGTTCCGTTTGTTTAGCACTCTGGTATCTATTGCGTTCCGTTTGTTTAGCATTTGGGTATATATTGCGTTTCGTTTGTTTATCACTTGGGTATCTAATGCGTTCCGTTTGTTTAGCACTTGGGTAACGATTGCATTCCGTTTGTTTAGCACTTGGGCATATATTGCGTTCTGTTTGTTTAGTACTTGGGTATATATTGCGTTCCGTTTGTCTAGCACTTGGGTATCTATTGCGTTCCGTTTGTTCAGCACTTCGGTAACGATTGCGTTCCGTTTGTTAAGCACTTGGGCATCTAAGTATTCCGTTTGTTTAGTACTTGGGTATCTATTGCGTTCCGTTTGTTTAGCACTTGGGTATATATTGCGTTCCATTTGTTTAGCACTTGGGTATCTATTGCATTTCGTTTGTTTAGTGCTTGAGTATCTATATCGTTCCGTTTGTTAAGCACTTGGGTATCTATTGCGTTCCGTTTGTTTAGCACTAGGGTATATATTGCGTTCCTTTTGTTTAGTACTTGTGTATATATTACGTTCCGTTTGTTTAGTACTTAGGTATCTATTGCGTTCCGTTTGTTTAGTACTTGGGTATCTATTGCGTTCCGTTTGTTAAGCTCTTGGGTATCTATTGCGTTCCGTTTATTTAGCAATTGGGTATCTATTGCGTTCCGTTTCTTAAGCACTTGGGTCTCTATTGCGTTCCGTTTGTTTAGCACTTGGGTCTCCATTGCGTTCCGTTTGTTTAACACTTGGGTATCTATTGCGTTCCGTTTGTTTAACACTTGGGTATTATCGAGTTCCGTTTGTTTAGCACTTGGGTATTATCGCGTTCCGTTTGTTTAGCACTTGGGTATCTAATGCGTTCCGTTTGTTTAGCACTTTGGTGTCTATTGCGTTCCGTTTGTTTAGCACTTAGGTATTATTGCGTTCCGTTTGTTAAGCAATGGATATCTATTGCGTTCCGTTTGTTAAGTACTTTGGATCTATTGCGTTCCGTTGCTTAGCACTTGGGTATATATTGCGTTCCGTTTGTTTAGCACTTAGGTATATATTGCGTTCCGGTTGTTAAGCACTTCGGTATCTATTGCATTCCGTTTGTTTAGCACTTGGGTATCTATTGTGTTCCGTTTGTTTAGCACTTGGGTATCTATTGTGTTCCGTTTGTTAAGCACTTGGGTATCTATTGTGTTCCGTTTGTTTAGCACTTGGGTATCTATTGTGTTCCGTTTGTTTAGCACTTGGGTATCTTTTGCGTTCCGTTTGTTAAGCACTTGGGTATCTATTGCGTTCCGTTTGTTTAGAACTTGGGTATCTGTTGCGTTCCGTTTCTTAAGTAATGGGTATCTATTGCGTTCCGTTTGTTTAGCACTTGGGTATCTATTGCGTTCCGTTTGTTTAGCTCTCGTGTATCTATTGCGTTCCGTTTGTTTAGCACTTGGGTAACGATTGAAAATGAAACTAATTCTATGTTTTAACGTTTGGATAAAATGCTGTATTAATCACAATATAATCTGAAATGAATTTAAATCGGTTTGCAAATATTGTCAAACGCTTTCATGGAATAAATATTCATTATATGTACTCTGTTCTCTTTGCACAGACGTCATGTACATGTGCACATTGAGATGATTATCTTCTTGCTTAATGTATAATGGAGTTTTGTAAGCCTTTTTTGTTTCTCAAATATTACTAATACTATTATCCATATGTTGTAAAGCGCTATAGAGTAATTTTACAAATTATATAGGGTGCTATATAAACTAATGTTGTATATTATTATTAAAATGAATTAGACGGTTGTGGCTAACACTGACGTCACAATACTGACGTCAGGCGGGTAGTATCGAGGTTTGCGTGTGGAAGTTTGTCTACTAACATTACAGATCATTGCTAATTAAACAGAAACATTTCTTGGACAATGTTATCAAATAATAAAGAAAAGCCAATACTTACTGCCTTCCTTATGCTGACTAAACAAGACGGGATCACCGTCTTCATAGAACCCCCAGAGAGTGTGGTAAATTCTCCCCTCGTAGCCGAAGTCCAAGTAGTCATCGTATCCCCAGGTGGAGTTAAACAGGCTCTGAATCTGGAGACCAACGGCTGCGATAAGCTGGCCCAACACAATGAACTTCAGGACAATGATAACTACTGTTAAAGCCTTGCCTCCGGTTACAGAAGCTCTAGGCTCTTCGCTTTCTGTACCTTCCGTCCACTTGTTTTTCGTAACCGCTACATTGGGCACTTTTACTTTGATCTCTTGGACTTTTTCATCGTTCGGTTCTACTTTGTTCTCCTGAACAGTAATACTTGTTGTCTTAACTTTGCCGTTGGTTTTTCTGTTACCAGTAACCACGGGAATAGGTTGGGGTTGCACACTTGCTGTTGGTATTTTGTCGCTTGTAGCTGTAGCCATTTGTATAAGCGCGTATGAACGTGCGCCGACAGGCTTAATTGAGGTCGCTCCCTGTCTTAACTGTGGTATATATTCTGTTGCCTCTGTGACGTATATAGTCGAGTCATCGAATCAATACTTATCACAGTGGTATCGACGCCAATCGATAACCTAAAGGCATTCGATAGTTCTGACCTAACATTATAGAACATGATCAATTACCTATGTATATTCTTCCGAATATACCATGGCTGTATAGTTTCAGTTGCGGTTCATATTCAATATGAATGCCAACTGTACAAAGGCAAACCAATTAGAGCGTCTGGAAAAACACAATTTTATTTAAACGTATTGGCGTTTCAAATTGAATTGAAAAAAATGTCTAAATGCCGTTCCAGTTATCATGTATTGACAAAGAATAACAGTTGATGTTTATAATAACCATGTTTTTTTAATCCCATAGTTCACCTCACCTGCCGGTGATGAGAGCGCAATGCCTGGATCAACAAACAGCCGAACAAGAATCAGTACTAATAGGTACAAAAATATACAGAATAAATGAATACACTAGAACAAAAATAATTAATTGTATTTTAAATAGGTTTGAACATTTCTCACAAAATCAATAAATAATGTACACCATAGTATATCGTGAATCATAGCATAAAGAATCGTGTAAAAGTAATTACAGAGCTATCAAACAATTAACTGAAGTTTGATTAAAAAATCATAAGTACAACAAGGTAATATGAAATCGCTATAAACTTTAATATGCCCCTTGCTGATTGTTATCTCTCTGGGGGACGAAGCCAGATAGTAGCCCTACTATTCCCGTCGCTGACCAGCCAGGTCTTAAAGGATAAAGGTGTATGTCCGTTGGGATCAGTAGATCTAGAGTATCTGGTAATTAATCAGGATATCCCCCACAATCCGGGTAGGTAACAATCCGGAGATGCCAGGTTAGGTTATATATACGGTGGAGTGACAATACATATATAACCCTGTCTAACCTGATCTCAGGTCGCGCTTTTGTATCTTTATGGCAGCCAAATATTTAAGTTGATATGTCAGGGTAGATGCCAGGATGTATATTGAGTATGACTATCCTATATTTATTCGGTTTATCGATTGTTGATATAATGAATGAAACTCTTTTTCAAGCTAATATTAATGAAAAACGCCAAAAGGTATGATACCATGCAGGTAAACCGGCACTTCATTTTATATTTCTTGGTTCAATGTATGTGTCGAACAAAGTGGTCACCGACTGTTTATTAAAATATTGTTTGCTTTCTGAAATACATTTAAAAGACTGAAGAAGAGTTTTAGGGAGTCATACGGTATATATAGGGGGGAAACTGAATGAACTTGGTATACATCCGCGAAACGAATAATTCCTTAAATATTCAACCTATTTTTAAAACTCAGGTTTTATCTTTATATATTTGATTATCTTTATTTTAATGTAATAACACTCGCTGAGTGGATCAACCTAAGAAGCACATGAAATCAACAATAATCAGAGCAATGGCTTTTGAAATTATCTACTCCACAGCTTTGATATAAGATAAGTTCAAAATCTTCTTACAAAGTGTAACCGTTTTCACAAACCAAACCCTGCCAAGATTGTCTACTCTATTTGTTTCATGTATCAGACACGTCAGTATTTTTCACACCATTCCAAAATGCGGAACCTGACTCTTTGAGACTTGCAGTATACGTGTACTTGTCACTGATAGGGGTTCAATAGCTCCATTTCGAACATAAAGCGATTTGCACCAGCCCTGCCAATAACCCTACAAGTATTGCCATGTACAGAGAGGGTCACTATATAGGTAGACTTCTTTGTACCGCTGAGCAATATGGAAACTACCACCAGGTAGAGTGAATTGGGAGTCTGTCAAGGCTGATGTCTAAGTTACTGATCAACGGACTCACGTTGACATGGACATCGGCATTACAATAGTCCAACAGAATATACAATGTTACTTTTGCAGACCTTACGGGCCCGCCTCTAGAGGGTTAAATGGGTGTCTACCGTGATAAACTGCATCATATTTGCTTCCTCTTGTAATTCGCAATTAAAAAGATGATTTGATTCTTTTCCAGATATGTTCCTGATGTCGTTTGGAAACTAGATTGGCGACTTCTAATAATTTTTTATTTTTTTTATTTGTATTTGTTTTATTTTTCAGAATATATTTTTTTATACAATGCAAAGTACATTTGTAATAGCTGAAAATCTCAACATTTTCCCAATGTTTACATTTACATTGCATTTGTATAAGGAAAGCTGAAAAGGAAAGGTTAATAAAAAGAAAAATAGACAGAGGATGAAAAAAAGGCAAGGACAAAACACACACACACACACAGAGAGAGAGAGAGAGAGAGAGAGAGAGAGAGATGTCAGGCAATCAGTAGTATATATCTATATATCTATATGTATGACTAGCATATGAAAACAGGAGGGAGTAAAGAGCATGTGTTGTCAGCTGCAAATGTCAATACATGTATAGTAATAGCTAAACAAAATATTTTGATGTCTTATGGATAGGAAAAATGGATACAAAACAACTCACATACTAGTGTCCAATAATATTACATATTATAACTGTAAACAGTATTCTTAAAATAAAGTTCAGCAAATTGAAGATTCAGGAGATATTAATTAACTTTTGCCATTTTTTTCAATTATTTTTAAAAAATGTTACCTGTTGCAATATATTTTTGTGTAATATAGTTGTCCTTGATTGCTGTTTTAAGACCAATTATAGATAAATTGGTTTGTAGGCATCTTGCTGAATAAATATATTGTTTCATAATCAAAATAATTGTACTGTCTATTGGTGTTCTTATTTCATTTTGATTATAAAGTCCAAAGATAAAAGTCTCCTTATTGTAAGCAAAAGGGATCATTAAGGCATCTAATAAAAACTCAAAATTGTGTAACATAATTTGCACCTTATCACATTCCCATAGGGTATGTTCTATTGTTTCAATATTAGTTTTACATGAGTTACAATAAGGACTATCAGCTATTCCTGCCTTAAATAAGAATGAGTTTGTTGTCAAAATGTGTTGATTGATTCTGTATTGAAACCATTGTAATTTTGAATTTTTTGGATATATGAAAAGGCATTTTATATATTTTCTGCCATGTTTCATTATCAAAATTAAAAACATCATCCCATTTTTTTCTTCCAGTGGATATTGTATCATTTTTATTGAGTAAATAATACAAATCTTGTGTCCCTTTTTTACTGCGGAAAAGGATTTCTAGATTAATTGGTATGAAAGGATAGATAGGACATGGTAAATCTTGTTTCTGTATATGTTTTCGAATAGCTGAAATAAGTCCTTGGTAATTAAGAAAGTTTGTATTTATACCGAAGACCTGTTGAAATTCCTGACAAAAGAGTAAAACAAATTAGTGTATTTATTCATTAAATCCCTAATAATAACAATTCCTTTATTGTACCAATCCCGATAAAAAATACTCTGATTATCTATTTTAATTACATTATTATACCATATTGGTGTTTTGGCCAATTTATCTGGAGATCGATATGAATAGTGTTTGTTAAGTTTATCAATGCTTCAAAAACATCTTTCCAAAATAAATTCTTACAGTTATTGTGACATATTGAAATATACTCAGTTCCACAGTTAGCCAAAATATGATCATCAACAGAAGTTCTTAGAATAATTTGCCATTGACTTTGACTTGTATTATAGAGTCTCCTTAACCACGTTAACTTTAGAGATTCAATGAAAGACTTTACATGTAACATTTTTAGAAATCCGTCAATGTATTTTTTAACAGTTATATCTCTGTTCACTTTATCTATTTTACTTTTCCATGAAAAACAGAACAGTTCTGTGTTTAACTTTTTCAGGAAATTCTCATCTGGGTTTGGTAAAGAGATAAAGAGATGATTAAACTGAGAAATTAAAAGTGCCTTTATAATATGGATTCTACCTATTGGTGTCATAATTCTTCTTTCCCATGTTCTAATAAGGGCCTTTATCTTAACTAGTTTTTTTTATTCATAATTCAGTTTAGGTATTCGGTGTAGGTCAACATGAAACTCAATGCCTAAAAGTATAAATTTTTGATTTCCCCACTGTATATTCAATTCAGGGTACACAACTTCATCACTATATTTTTTACTCCCAATCCAAATAGCCTGTGACTTCTAATTTCGTTGATGACGTGACACAATGTCGACTCGTGATGCCTGTTAGTACAGATAGTGATGAAACTGAATGAATGTTTTCTATTTGGTGAGGATTTATTGTTGCCAGCACTTTGTATATTATAAGTTCTGTAGGTGCTGTTTTTGCAGTGCACTCTGTATAACTAAACCTTTTTTTTGTTATGTATGTAAATGCTTTTTATATTTTGTATTTCAAATGTATTGAACAATATAATTGTGAGGAATTAAGCCTGTTCTTGATGTTATATGCAGCCGATTTAGTTTGGATTTCGGAGGCAGTTGACGGTCTACAGAAACGGCTGGATAATTACTCTGACCAGTGGACACTAACTGTAAACAGTGATAAAACCAAACTTATGGTATTAAGAAAATGCTGGAAAATCAAAAGAAATGAATTGTAGTGTTGTCAAGACAAAAACTGTAGCTGTGTTGACCATATATTCATATATTGTTGTGCAATTTGCATATAATAATAAATAATCCAGAAGCCATTATCTGATCAAGGGCGTAAAGCCACATTTACTTTATGCTGAAAGTGTTCCAACTTAATTCTTCATTTTAAGATCATGATGCATTTGTTTGATACACATGTGTGTATTATACCGTGTTATGCTTGTGAAGTATTGGGGTCAATCAAAGGGCTATCCATTTAAAGTGTTCATCGGATTTGTTTGCCAGAGGTTCCTGCAAAAATTAAACATCTACAAGTAATGCCATGGTATAATGGGAACTGGGTCGTTTTCCATGAGAATTTATTAGGAAGTACAAAGTTATTAAGTATTGATTTGAATAACTTGACACTGAAATTGTCAAATTGTGTATATTTCCTGTTATTCATTTGGGAAACAGG